AAGATTGCCTATCTCCATTTCATTTAGTTGTTTTTCTGGGGTTTTATCTTGTCCCTTCATCTGGTACATAGCCCTCTGCCTTTTCATCTTGTCTACCTTTCTGTGAATGTTGTTTTTGTTCCACAGGCTGCAGGATTGTAGTTCTTCTTGCTTCTGTTGTCTGCCCTCTCCTGTGCTCAGCTTTTAACTCCACCCTTTCTCTCCTGCTCCAAAAAGCAAAGTCATTAACTAAAAGAAGTCACAAAGTCAGTAGACTAGATTGGAAATGTGTTCGAAAGAGATAAACCCACTTCACTAACAGTAACTAATTCTTTTTTTTTTCTTTTTTTTTTTTTTTTGCGGTACCCGGGCCTCTCACTGTTTTGGCCTCTCCCAGGAGCACAGGCTCCGGAACGCACAGGCTCAGCGGCCATGGCTCACAGGCCTAGCCGCTCTGCGGCATGTGGGATCTTCCCAGAGCGGGGCACGAACCCATGTCCCCTGCATCGGCAGGCGGACGTTCAACCACTGCGCCACCAGGGAGGCCCCCATAACTAATTCTTGATATTCATGATGTATATGACACTTGACATATTAAATTCCCAAGAAATTATCATTCCCTCTAAAAATATATTGTACACTAGATGGCTTCAGTGAAACACAAGTGGCTCTAAACTATATCAGCAACTAGTGGAAACGAATTTTTGGTGAATCAATAATGTATCAGTTCGGTCATTCTCTGAACTGATTTTTGGCAAATAGCTCTAAAGCTCAAGAAAGTCCTATATTTGGGATAAAGGGAAAAAATCATAATAGCAAAGGAAATAAATACAAACTTCAAAGGAAGCCAGGCAGCTGGACCTGGGTGGCTAAACAGGAGTATCCAGAACAAGAGAAATCCAGTAAGACTTGGCAGAAAGCTATGCCAGCAATCTGTATTCCCAATTTAGCCATGAATTGCCTGAAGGAATCCCTGCTGGGCTCTAGAACACTTGTCCGAGATCACAGTTTGCTGATGCAATACTTCCCTGTGAGGAGCAGGAGAGCTGTTTAGGAGCTGCTTGTGGCCAAGGCTATGATGCATTGATCTGGGTGCTCCTAGCAATTCATGTGGTATCTGGCATGTGGCACTAAAGAAACATGGGCTGAACTAGATGAAGAAGACAGTGTTGACAAGGTGAGAGCCACAGAGAAAGCCCCAAGTCTCCCAGAGGCAACGGTCCGAGCAGGAAACTGGGATGCCATCTCATGCGCCACAAGCCCTCCTACCTGCAGTGGCTCAGTAATTTCAGAAGCTGAAATGTTACCAGGCAGGAGATGACAATTGGACATTTGGTCTGGATTCTAAGATCTGAAGATGGAAAAGCAGAAGGCGGCAGTGACGAGTCTAGAAAACAGGTCTCCTCAAAATGGTTGATGGACCTGGTAATGTAAAATCTTGAGAAGAAAAATCTAAGAGAGGACATGATTACTGTTTGTTTTCTGGTTCATTCTTTCATTCATGCCTCACCTCCTTCAAGTTTTGGCTCAAATGTCATTTCTGTTTCTACCATGACCACCCTAGTTAAAACTGTATCCACTCTCACTCCCACCCTCAGCACTCCTAATATGCCTTCCTCTGATCTGTTTTTGTAGCATTTATCATCTTTCAAAACACTATATAATGTTCCTATTTATTATGTTTACTGTTGGTTTCTCCCCACAAAACTGTAAGCTGGGCAGTGGTTTTGGTCACCACTGTGCTCCAACATTTAGAACAGTGCCTAGTGGTGAGCATACATCTGCTGACTGAATGAATGAGTGAATTAAAACATTTGAGATCTCTGAGGTGCCAGGCTAGCAGCTAAATGCTGAAGATTCATGAGGTAAATAAGTAAGCCATTGGGACTTCCCTGGTGGCACAGTGGATAGGACCCCGTGCTCCTGGTACAGGGGGGCCAGGTTCGATCCCTGGTCAGGGAACTAGATCTCACATGCATGCCGCAGCTAAGAGTTCAAGTGCCACAACTAAGGAGCCCATGGGCCACAATTAAGACCCAGTGCAACCAAATAAATAAAGAACCATACTTCACACCATACACACACACACACACACAAATATTTTTTTAAGTAAGTAAATAAGCCATCACCCCTGCCCTGGAGGAACCTAGGGTCTTGCGGGAGGGACAGGCTTACAAAATTGTACGTTAAACACAGTAAGTACTGCTTTTCCCAAGCGATGCACAGTGCTGTGATGATTCAGAGCACTCCAACAACTAGCTCTGCCTGAGAGAGCTCAGGATTCAGCATGGAAGTGACCCTTGCTCAGGCCTTGAAGGACTTAGAGGTGGGGACTGGGGAGTCAGAGAAGTGAAGGGGGCATTCCTAGCAGAAGGAACAGCTGAGGCAAAGGTGCCAACTCATGGCAGGGCTCGGCAGGTCTTGAAAACAGCAGACTCTTAGGATGGCAGGCCCCTGAGAGGATGGGAACAAGAGTAACTGCAAGAACAGGATGACACCTGGCTACAAAACATGCTGCATGCCCAAGTCAGTCTGCATTTTACCCTGTAGATAATGGAGGAGCTACTGTGTGTGTGTGAGAGGGGAAGCAGGTGACACAATTAGCACTTTTTTTTTTTTTGCTGAGGAAGATCATTCTAGCTGCACTGTGAAGAATGTACTAGAATGGGGAAGAGACTAGAGGCAAGAGGCTATTATAAGAATCCAAATGAGATGACGGTGGGCTGAGCTAAGATAGTCACCTGGGGATGGTCCAGGGAAA